TTCCAGCTTTTTTTTTTTTTTTTTTTTTTTTTTTTTGTTTTTTTTCTTAACCCAAACCTCCGGCTGTCTTGGTCCCGTTGGTCCGCAGGTTAGAGTTCCTCCGGTCCTCCTCTGGAACCCACCGTACAAGAAGAACAGGAAAACAAAGACACTACAGACTTTTCCGCTCGGGCGACAATTACAGCTAAATTTGCGTTCTTGCGCTAAGACCGCTGTTTAACCCCTCGGTTCTTTTCTTTTCCTTCCACTCGTCCTCTTTCTCTCTCTCTCTCTCTCTCTCTCTCTTTCTTCTTTCATACTCGTTGCTTTTGCACGTCACCGGCAGCCTTTGTGCATGACAATTGCTGGACACACACGCGGCTTCTTTCTGAGAGAAAGAGAAAGAGAGAGAGAGAGAAGACGGGGTAAGAAACTTCGGGATAAGAAGGTTTGGCAAAGGTTTGTGAGAACATAGTGAGCGCTGTGGTTTGAGACTTCGTTTGAGGCACGCGGGCAAGGCTGGATGCATAATTAGGTGGCTTCGAAGAGGCTCGTCGAGGTGGATTTTGATGGAGGTTTTATGAATAATTGGAAGAGAGAGAGAGGTTGACGCGTTGACGTTCAAGTAGCGGACAAAAGAGAATTTTGAACGATACTGGCATGCACGTACATACGTATTAACTAAACGACATTAGTAATATTTCTTTTATTAATCATCTATTCATTTTGGATTATCTCGTGTTATTTGCTTTCTGTCCGCCATTGTTAATCTGGAGATAAATTAAATATATTAGATTGACGCACATGAAATGTCATCTTCTTCTGAAAGTGAGATTTTAGTCAAAATTTTTATCGAAATTACCTATAAATATATTAAATATAACAAGCTAAATATAAATTTAATATAATATATTGATATATAACTAAATATCAAATATTGTAATATTTAATGTAATATAATATATCATTAATATTAACGTAAAGCAGAAATGTGTACTATAAATCGTTTGCATTCAAAATTCGTGAATATACAACCAGAATATTCGTGCGATTCCTTCACATAAAAATTAAGTTTGGAAAAATAGCTTGATAATTTTTACAAAGCCGAAACCATTTAAGAAAGGTCAAAGAAGGTCAGAAGTTTTTTTTTTATCCCGACTAAGCAATTTTCTAATTAATCGAAAAGAAATTTAGAAATGAAGAACTTGCAAGATCTCTTAAATTCTAAAAATTGGTAATTCTTACAAAGCTGAGCTGCTAAAAGGAAATAGTCTGTTTCGTTGGAAAAGTACTGGTAATACTGATTGTGAGTATGTGAAATTGATAAAACTAAAGTTTGATCATAAAGCGACATTTGACACACATCAGTCTAATATAAATCGTAATCGTGTGATCCTTGACATATTCTTCTGTAAAAAGAAACTGCTATAACTTCTGACAACTTTATCTATTAACAGTTGATGGATAAAAGGAAGTTTACAACGAGAACGCTATTAAATATTGTATTCATTATATTAGAAAAGTATACTTTTCACTTGCTATTCTTTCCTTTTCCGCTGTAATTTCCATTATAAAATTTTGCGTTTTAATTTTAACGTTACAGCTAAGATTCGCTCAATATTTTTTTCATCATTGTATCTTCCATGTAGAATTTTATAATTTTACAAAATTTCGAGGAACTCTATAACATCACGATCAATTATCGTTTTAATGGATTAAAAATTTGATATAGTTTCTTATCAATTATTTCTTAAACTTCCTTTCGTCCGTTATTCTATGTAATATCAGGACAAAACGAACCTGTACTGATATATTAACTGATTTATTATTTCAAAAGAGATACGAAAGCTCGGAAACGCAGAATTAATCCACCAACTAATCAAGAAAGTTTACGAGAGATGTTACTTGAAATTTATCATTAAAGATTTAAATTCAGAATTCAGAAATTCAAGTGACAAATTCAAGCATTAGAAAGTAAACGTATAAAAAACGTACTTTCCTTTTTCCTTTTATATAAGATAAAACGATAGTTTAATAAAACGAATGTTCACTTTTTTTTTTTTCCGACGATGAACTGTATTTCATCCAACGCAAGAAATCGCTGTTGTGAAACACCTTCTCGTTCGAAACGCGAACCGATAGATATGCAAACGAAACTGTGTCAAAAAAATGAAAAAAAGAAAAAGAAAAAAACATTGCATATTAAGCAAGGATTTATATTCGAATTCTATTCGTCCCTTGTACCAACAATATCATTTCCACCCTATGAAAGCGTAAGAGAGCAGATACGAGGAGAAAACGAGTGGATGATGGAAATGCTACGATACTGGCTTTGAAATCCGTCAATAGTTGACTACTACAATAGCGTTGTAGCGTTCTTCGTATTGGATTGTTGCGAGGATTCTGCTTTTATAGAGATAAAATGCCTTATTCCACGCTCAGAAGCACTTGTTGCTTTAGCCGCCATTTTAAACTATGCTTAAATAAATTTTCATTTTTAGCAGACCACGGACTTTTTATGCATTCTATGAAACGAGAGAAATTTGTTTCTCAACCATTGAGTATCGTACATAAACACAGTAGGATATCGAAATCCGCTTTCATTGCAGCCTCTACCTGCTCAATTCATTATATATTCGTGGAGATTGTTGCACGAATGTGTTTCAAGACTTTATAATACTTGTAAATTAATCGAGAAACGACACGTACAAAATGACCACGATTATAAACGTTATTTTTCATAATTTGAAATAAGTTTCTTAAATTGGACTGTTTTCTTTATTGAACCACATGCAGGGTGGTTCAAGAAGAACTAGCACTTGAATTTCTCCATTGTTTCTGGAGACATTTTGGGAAAATTTTATTGAGAAAAAAATTACAATAGTAGTAGCAATAATTTTCTTTCAACATCAGCTCCATTTCTCTGAATGGAGAGCTTTCTTGTATATTTATTTGTCTATCAATCAATATAATTCAATTCTAATTTTTGTTTTATAGCCTACTGTATTTTATAAACAACTGTCTTTCCTTGTCCATCATACGGTAAATTTTGCAAAATTAGAATTAAAATATCTCCTGAACTAATAATTTTTCTACGTACACTTTGTAACAATCTATTTATAAATAATATCTGGTTGTATGGATGGATTAAGAAATATATGGCTCCGTTTAAAAAAGTGGAAGTGATGCTGAAATATCAAAAGCCCCATCAGTTGTGGAAAGAAATTGTTACTACCACATTAAAAGTTTAAACGACTTTTGTTCGTAAAGTTTTCTTATATCTCCAAAAACGACGGATTTAATTGGATCATCCTGTAATAAATTAATATGCAATCTCTTAGCATCAGGTTATACATGTTTATTGTTTGTTTAACATGGAAATAGAAAATTATAAGAAAATACGTAATGATGATTCTTTTGTTTTGGTGCCAATCGATGTAATTTCGCCTATAATATTTGGCTTTGGTGTTAAGCGAAAATAAGTTTTGTCTATCACATCAAAAACTTAAAACTACGCTAATTTTGCAAATTGATAATATTTTGAAAATTTTTATGATCAGACATATAGTAACTTCGGCCTGTTTTATTACATTTATGTATCAATTACATTCCCAAATTCTTTTTACTCGAAACTATCAACATTTATTATAACAATTTATTTATTTATTCAGATGATCCCAATTAGGCGACTTTTACCTACTTTCGAATTCGTGATAATTTACACTATTTTCCTATAAAATGAAAATTAATCGCGATAATCCTAGATCTGCAGATATTGAATCCTACTGTATGATTTTTCCGGAAATGCATAAAAATTCGCAATCTAATGATGAGACCTATACAAATATTTTAATCCTTTTGTTACGTCGTGCAAATTACTAGTAAAATTTAATTATCCAGTGACAGGTGACTGAAATCGCTCGACGATGAGTGACTAATATACAATAACGAACTCTCGGCCATGGTTGACTATCGTCAATATCGTTAATATCATCGAAAAGGTACAATAAACAACGAAAGAACCTCGACGAGTAAAATCACTAACCTTTTTTTTACGAAAGTAAAAGGTTTAATTATCCAATGACAGGCGACTAAAATCACTATCAATGCTCGACGATGATATTGACCGATTATAATTACCGTTGAATAATGAAAGGACCTCGACAAGTAAAATCAATTAAAAAAAAAAGAGGGGGGGGGAGGTAGAACACGACAAAGAAACCTGATAATAGAGAAAAGCAGGCGAGACGAGAGCAAGCCTGGAGAACTTACCTGTTTTCGTGGCGAACGAAACATCCTTGGGATGATTGGTCTTGATCGCGTTCATCCGTCTGTTCTGAGGCCCGATGCCGCCGGCGCAGCCGACGCCGGGCGTCTGTCCAAGGCCAGGGGCCAGGCCACCGGCCCCGGATGTCGGCCCGCCCGACTGCATGTGCTGCTGGGTGCAGCCCGGCGGCCCCATGGTGCCAGCGACCCCGGCCGCGCCCAATGGCGCGCCCAGCGTCCGCACCCTCGGCTGCTCCACCGGTAATACGCGGCGTCTCTTCTTCGGTAGCTTGGCTCGCGCCTGCGTGTGACTGTAATACATCGCAAAGTTGCTGACGATCACGGGCACCGGCAGGGCGATCGTGAGGACACCGGCGAGGGCGCACAACGCGCCGACGAACATCCCCACGTAGGTCTTCGGCACCATGTCCCCGTAGCCGACGGTGGTCATCGTGACCAGTGCCCACCACAGGCCCAACGGTATGCTCTTGAAGTCGTTCTTCGGATTGTACTGAGTACGCTCCGCGTAGTAGACTAGGCTGGCGAATATCACGATGCCAAGGACTAGGAAGAAGACCAGCAGCGTGAGCTCCTTGGCGGACGCGCGGAACGTTTGGATGAGGATCTTCAGGCCGGACGAGTGCCGGGTCAACTTGAACAGTCTCATGATACGTATGATGCTCAAGAACTCGAGGATGTCGGCGTTCTCCAGGTGGGAGGCGAAACGTTGCAACGCCAGGTCGAGGTAGAAGCTCAATGTGGCGACCATGTCGATCAGGTTCACCGAGCTCTTGATGAACACGCAACGGTTCGGGCTAGCGGTGATCCGTATGAGGAACTCGATGGTGAACCAGGCGTTGCACACGCACTCGATGTAGAAAAAGAAGTCGTGCGCGTTCGTGTGAGTCTTGTCCACCGCCCAGGAGCTACCGTTGCCCGTGTTCACCGACCGGTTCACGATCACCGGCACGCGCATGTCCGGGTGCGTCTTCAGGCAGAACGACAAGATCGAGATACAGATGAACAGAACCGAGACTATGCTGATCACCTGCGGAGTATTTTCCATAGTTTTTTTTTTGGTTAGTACTCGCGTGGGTTAACCCGGCAGTGTACGCGCGTTAACAGAGATTCGGTAATTGTGATGATAATTTGTTCAATTGCAAATTAAAAATCTTCTCATTGATCTTTTGAAGTGAAATTGATAAATACGCGGGTAAGAGCAATGGGGTTCAAATAT